TGAAAATGACTCTCATCGTTTGTTGAAGCAAGTTGATAAATGGAAGAACGATTCTATCGACAAAATTAATCATCTGGCTGGTCAATGTCGGACTGACCTTGTTAAATTGCTAGATAAAAATAAGGACCGGCTAACTGATAGATTTCTCAAAATAACGAATAGAGTTCGTAAAGGTAGAGACGATGACGATTATGATGAACGAGATCTCAGCAAGTGGATGAATGAGTTAAAAGAATTAAAAGATGAACTTATCGAACCATCGAACTTCCGCGTCGAAGAGAATAAACAACAATCTTCTTGGATTCAAAAGATCAGAGTACACGAAGATTTCCGCGACCAAGCAAAAGATGGTAACTTATAATTACACCCAGTTTACCTTTGTCGACAGAGAGATTTAAGAGTCTGCGGGACATGAATAGGCTATTTTGGTGAAGCTAAGTCAGACCTTACCAATTTTTCCACATATATTAGAATGTTAAAAGTATTTTGACGCAGATTAGTTTTTCTGAGGGTTAATTCGACTTAACAGCTAGCAAGTTCACCTATTACCGTATCGTAATCAATCAGCATAACTGTAATACATCACGCAAAAAGCGTTCATCAAAATACTCGATAGTTCTTTGACCCAGTACTATATTGTGAAGTTGGCAGTAAAGCGTGATCTGCAAAACTCACACAGTATTCATGCTAGAGAAATAAAGACTCCGCATGTCTTCCTTCAAGCTTCATTTGGTCCTCTTCAGGTTATTCAAAGCTTCAATTCTCATCGTTATCTCCGGCCAAGCCACCACCAGCTGGAACCCAATTGAAAACATCAAGTGTATCGGAAGCATATCCGACAAAACTATCCAACGAAGAGAACAAAGTTTTAGAAAAATTAAGGTCTAATGACACAACAATTCTTGATGTTGCCAGCAACAATATATCAGATGCAGGGGCAAAAGCAATTGCAGAAGCCTTGAAAACAAACCAAACATTAACACATCTTGGTATTGTAAACAACAATATATCAGATGCAGGGGCAAAAGCAATTGCAGAAGCCTTGAAAACAAACCAAACATTAACACGTCTTTACATGTCCAACAACAATATATCAGATACAGGGGCAAAAGCAATTGCAGAAGCCTTGAAAACAAACCAAACATTAACAGAGCTTGATATTGAGAACAACAATATATCAGATGCAGGGGCAAAAGCAATTGCAGAAGCCTTGAAAACAAACCAAACATTAACAGGTCTTGGTATTCAGAACAACAATATATCAGATGCAGGGGCAAAAGCAATTGCAGAAGCTGTGAAAAAGCATAAGGTGTGTAAGGTGTATTATTAGTGCATTGAATGTGTTAATGAAAAACGTGGACGGCAACGAGATTTTTTTGGAAAAAAGATCTTTTAACGCCTTTCAAGTATAGGGCAAGAACACAAGATTTTTCGTCTCTGGCATGGAAACAGAGTCGAGTTGTACATCATTAGATGCAGTTTCGTGCGCTGATTCTAAGTGTAGCTTAGTTTTTCTTATAAATGCTCCTGGGCTCAGAAAAATTGATTTTGCAAGAAACATTTTGTATGGTCAAGGAACACTTGTGCTGTCTGTACAAGTATAATAGAGACATATGAAGATATTTAGAATTCTCAAGCAATTGTGTATGAAAGTGGTGTGCCAGACTAACCTTCTGTACAAAACTGTGTGTAGACTCTACACACAGTTTTGTACAGAAGGTTAGTCTGGCACGCCACTTTCTTGAATTGGACAATTAATACTTACTCTACACTGTAGAGTAAGTATGAATTGTCCAATTCAAGATAAACCAAAGTGACAATCTTTTCCTCAATTCAAAGGCAACAATGTCACTAAGATTAGGTTTTCGACGCAAAGTTATAGAATTCACAAGAAAAGCTCTAAATGTTCATTGTCAGCTCAAAGATACGGAAATAAGGAAAAAATTAACTTAGGGCTTCCTCTTCCCGTTACTTTTTTGGCCGTTATCAACAACGGTAACTAGCAAAACAGTTGCCATTAAAGTTACGGTTACTGTCTTTTCAGTTAGCGTTAAAACAACGGTAGCTGACAGACAGTTACCGTTACTTTAATGATAACTGCGTTTCCAGTGACCGTTGAAATAACGGTAACTATCCGTTAGTTAACTTTGTGGTAACTGTTTTTTAGGTATTGGAGAAATATCCACGCAGAGGCTGTAAATGGCTTCCAAAAACGCTAGTTTTCCGCTAAAACTGTGGAAACTTGCATAAATGACATGGTCTTGTAGTCTAATTTCGTTGATGAAAACAACAAAGATTTCTCAAGCTGACTGTAGATGCTGAGGTCTCCAGAGACGTTAAAACCGCAGTTACAAAACACTGAAGTTATATAATTTCGATTAGTTTAGTTGACAGGCACGTGTGTGCCAAACAAAACCATGTTATTTATAAAAGTTTCAACAGTCTTGGTGGGAGCCATTTCCATCCGCTGCGTGGATATTTCTGCCATACTTAAAAAATAGTTACCACAAAGTTAAATAATTGTCTTTTCAGTTAGCGTTAAATCAACGCAACGGGAACTTTTACAGTCCTACTATGCCGAGTGTTGCATAACCTTTTTCCAGGAGGGTAACGACGTGAATTTAAAGTAGGTACCTAATGAATTCTATACCAAATGAAAGCCCGTAAAAAACTGGATCTAGGACTATAGTTAACAATTCAATAGATGCAGATAGTCAATCCAATAAATGTACAAGATTGTGGTTACTTTCTTGCGAAGAAAATAAAGTATCAAGTAAATGTGGTTCGGTTACAAATGATACATCAAGCGAACCTTTTATTTAATTTGAATAGAAATGATACATCAATATCTAATGTGACCGCCGTTGGCTTCACGTACAGCTTTTAATCGCTGAGGATTCGATCTCAATAGACTTTCGAAAAGTTCTTTTTCGTTTTCAAGTTCATGCAGAACATTTTGAAGATGTTCAAGCAAAACGACTGAAGAATTTGTCGGATCGCGTTCGCTGATCATCAGACTTTCTACTTTGTCTATTAGAATTGATCCAACATTTTCCGCCACATTCACGTCTGGAGAACTGCATGGCCATTCTGTTCGATCAAAGAAATCGATTTCTTTAACCGAACAGAATGGCCAGGCAGTTCTCCAGACGTACTGCTAGGCAGCGCGTCAAAACAACCAAAAAAAGTGTCCGATTTAAAAAACTTTCTCCGTCCTCGGCGACAACAATAGTTTAACGGCATGGCAGCGGCGCTGGAAGGCGCAACAATTTTCTCCACCTTCAGCGTCGGCGACAGCGAACCGGCGCGCTGGCGCACGTATCTGCATATGCCTCCTATATACCACGAAAAAGAAAGAAAAAAGTCTTTATTACGTTCTTCTTTTGATTATTTTGAAAAGAAACGTGTACAAAGTATGGTTGTGCCACTGCTTCTATTTTAGAAAGACAACCGTCTTCGCCGCAGAAGAACAAAAAACTTTTTTCCTTTTATTTAATTAGTTACCTTTTTTCATTATAAAAACTTATAGAGAACACGTTTTTCAGTTTAAACTGACGAGCGAGTGGCGCAGAAAATTTTCATATACATTACATCGATTACAAACATACGCTTAGGATTTTGCGCTGTTACCTCTCACTAACTAAGATCTTTTATTGTTAACATTAATTCGAGACTGAAACAGAGTGGGTTTGTCTTCCAATCGAAGAAGAAGTATTTTATTCAAGTTTTAAATGGCAGCTACATCAAAAGTTCCATGTGCGAAATGTGAGAAAAATTCTGGTATACTCACATGCGATGGCTGTTTAGAAAAGTTGTGTCGACGATGTTTCAATAATCATCGTCAAGATTTGTCAAAAGAACTCGACAATGTTGTTTATCAACACGATATGCTCAAACAACAGCTCGAAATGCCAAATGAAAATGACTCTCATCGTTTGTTGAAGCAAGTTGATAAATGGAAGAACGATTCTATCGACAAAATTAATCATCTGGCTGGTCNAATAACGAATAGAGGTCGTAAAGGTAGAGACGATGACGATTATGATGAACGAGATCTCAGCAAGTGGATGAATGAGTTAAAAGAATTAAAAGATGAACTTATCGAGCCATCGAACTTCCGCGTCGAAGAGAATAAACAACAATCTTCTTGGATTCAAAAGATCAGAGTACACGAAGATTTCCGCGACCAAGCAAAAGATGGTAACTTATAATTACACCCAGTTTACCTTTGTCGACAGAGAGATTTAAGAGTCTGCGGGACATGAATAGGCTATTTTGGAATTTTTCAATATGATACTCATAACCAAGACAATAAGTTCTTCATATCCTATAATTCTTCTTT